CCGCCGAGAACAGCGACGGTGGCCATAACTTTTTAAAGAGCCCCTCTCAAGAGCTGGGGGAGCCAGAATGACCTCTCGCGTGTGATGTCCGAGGGGCTCAGGGAGGCAACACCACTCAGACATCACACGCAAGAGGTGGAATTTGCCCCTACGAGTCCAAGGCCACCACCCCGGGGCTCAGGGAGGCATGAGAACGTTTCAACCATGCCCCACCCCCAGCATGGGCATTGCAGCTGCCGCCGGGAAAAGCGATGGTGGCCATAACTGTTTAAAGAGCCCCTCCCGAGAGCTGGGGGAGCCAGAATGACCTCTCGCGTGTGATGTCCGAGTGGTAACGCCGTTCGGACATCATACGTGAAAGGTGGAATTTGCCTTTACGAGTCCAAGGCCAACCTGGGGCTCAGGGAGGCAAGGGAATGTTTCATCCCGCCCCCCCCCCAGTGCGGGCATCGCAGCTGCCGCCGGGAACAGCGACGGTGGCCATAACTTTTTAAAGAGCCCCTCCCGAGAGCTGGGGGAGCCAGAATGACCTCTCGCGTGTGATGTCCGAGGGGCTCAGGGAGGCAACACCACTCAGACATCACACGCAAGAGGTGGAATTTGCCCCTACGCAGGCGACCACCACGGGGCTCAGGGAGGCAAGGGAAAGTTTCGGGGCCCCCATGCGGGCGCTGCGGGCGCCGCCGAGAACAGCGATGGCGGCCATAACTTTTTAAGGAGCCCCTCCTGAGAGCTGGAGGAGCCAGAATGACCTCTCGTGCGTGATGTCTGAGCGGTGTTGCCACTCGGACATCACACATGATAGGTGGAATTTGCCCCTACGAGTCCAAGGCCACCACCCCGGGCAAGGGAACGTTTCGCCCCACCATTCCCCCCTGCGCGGGCGTCGCAGCTGCCGCCGAGAACAGCGATGGCAGCCATAACTTGTTAAAGAGCCCCTCCCGAGAGCTGGGGGAACCAGAATGACCTCTCGCAACGCCGCTCGGACATCACACGCGATAGGTGGAATTTGCCCCTACGAGTCCAAGGCCACCACCACGGGGCTCAGGGAGGCATGGGCGGTAGTTTCGCCCCACCCCTCCCCCTGCACGGGCATCGCAGCTGCCGCCAAGAACAGCGACGGCGGCCATAACTTGCCTGACCTATCACCGTAAGTCTTTTGAAGTTTTTGACATCAGGTATGGTTGGGCTTGAGCTCTGTAGGATTGAGCTAGGATAAGTGCCAAGCTGTTGGAAGGAAAAAATTGCCAGGGACCCCTCTATGTACTCATTCTTGTTGGAATTTAGAAGATTAAATGTTGCAGCAAATCTTTCCTAGGCTTTGTAGGGATTTGAGGAGTTGGTCTGTCACTTCAGGGAAGAGAGATCAAGTCCACTGAGTCTGATCCATGATACTCTTAAGTCCAGGCAAGTTTGAGCTTTTATTATTTATTTATTTATTGGGGAGGTGGAAAATAAATAAATCTCAAGACGAGAGAGGTATCCATGGGTCAGGAAAACAAACTGAAGTATTTTGCTTCAGGGTGGTTTTCCCATTTTCCTTACGGTAAAGGCAGTTCTTTAGCATGAATCGTAGTCAACTCTTTGAAGAAGCAGCTGCAGAGTAAAGGAAGAAGAATGACATTGCAAGGATCTTTATTGATCCAAAACAAAATCCTAAAACTTTATTAGGACCCTTTATTAGGACCAATCAGTATGACATCAAGTAGTATACATTGTACAAGCTTTCAAGGATTCCAGGGCTCAGCAACAGGCTGGATGTTTAAAAGAAGGGTGGTAGTTAGCTTCAGGCCATGATCTTCTCTTACTAGCACAAGACTTTGAAACTTCCCTTAATTCTCCGCACCACCTCCTTCTAACAAACAGGCTGATAAAGAGTTCTGGAGAACTCATAAGCTTGAATACTTTGAGGGGTTATTTTGACTGGTCCTAAGGAAAGGTATTACGTGGCTTCTGTTTTAGGAATAAAAATGCGAACGTCATTGACTAATTCATCCTAACCTAATTAGAGGTATTTTACGATTTCACTGGGAGAGAGGCCTTCCAGCCAGGAGCTACTGCGGTTTCCCAGAAGATGCCGCAGGGCAATTCCTGCCAGTTGGGTTCTGTGATGCCGCCTGGCTCCTTGGGGCGCCCACAAACCCTTCCACTCTTGGAGGGCTGCCAGTATCGCAAGGGCTGCTTTCGTTTCGGCGGCAGCAAAACCTGGCGCTCTACTAAAGTAATGGGGGGTGGGCGGTCCCAGGGCTCTGCGGCGTGCCTGGACCCAGCTGAGACCCCACCCCCCCGCCGCCGCGGAAGCCAAGGGCAGCGCAGCAGGGTCTGATCATCTCCCCGCACCATGGGGCGGGGGGGAGGCAGTGCACAGAGGGGCCGCCCCTTTCCCCTTGGCCCCGCCCTCTCCTCGTTCAGGTTCCTTTGGAGACGCTGCTGCGTTTGCTTTCTTCCCGTGGGATTGCATTGCTGACTCGGGTGTGCGTGTGAATGAAACACAAGTGAGTCTTGGGTGGCAGGCAGGGGTCGGGAGAAAAACGGCAGTAGAATGCTTGCACTGTGGAGGGGGCAACGGTTTCTGGCCCCCGCCCCCCGTAGTCCTGTCATTTTCCAGTACGATGAATTGCCTCCCCATCCATCATTCTTTGCCAGCCCCCTGGGAAGCGGCTCGGCCGCCGAAACCGATTAGCTTCCGACGGGGGGTTGGGGGGGGGGGCTTATTGACCCGACGGGGGTGCTCTTTTCTCGGGCTGCGTTGCTAGGCTTGAGCCCTCTTGCATTATGGATGAGCCCGCACTCGCTGTGTGGCAGGGGGCTCGCCACGTTGCCTTCCCTTGCCTGTAGCTGGCAGACTGCAGGACAGCTTAATTGAGGTGTAAATGCGAGGCTCTTCCTCCGCCCCGCCATCCCCCCCGTCGGCAGCAAACGCTTTGCTTTGGAAGGTAAGCCGCAATTACTGAGCGATCTGATTGGGAACGAAAACGGAGCTTTGCGGGGAGAACCGTTTTGTCACTCTCACGCAGCGCAGTCCCTTTCCCTCAGGTGGCGTTTGGGGCACTGCCTTCTTAAGCACCCTGAACCGGCAAACTGCCCCTCGATGATGATCTCGGAAAAGTGGGAGCTCGCCTGCGCCTCCTTTTTTTTGGTCCCCGTTGTGTGCTGCTTCTTTAAAAATCCTGGGACCTTCTTTTCAGCGCTCCTTCCAGACAAAAGCACTGTGCAAACAATTGCCCTGTCGCACTGTTGCATAGCATAAGGATACTAACTTACTTGGAAAATGTATATGCTGGACAGCATTGACCTTAAGAGTTGTAAACATACCTAAAGGTACAAATGCATGGAAAGGGTCCAGAACACAGCACAAGGATGTTAGTAAATTCAGAGTCTCAAAGCAGGAATTTTGTTTGGCCCTGAAAGCAATATTACACATTAACAAAACCTTCAGTTAATATATTTTTGATCAGCAACCTGTCTCTTACTCTTGCAATTGGCACATTTTAAAAAAATCTTGAAGTATACCTTCAAAATTGTGAAACGATACAAAAGAGAGACGGATCTGCTTTTTCATGCTGCAAAAACAAGAGAGTTTTTTACTTACTACTTATTTTTCAATAATGCCAAGCCTGGTAAAGCTGTACTGCTGGATGTGTACAGCGGAGAGATAAAGAGGTGGCCTTCCATTCAAGGCATCGTTTACATTTGTGTTGTGATTTAGTTTGGCCCTTAAAGATAAAATGCTTCAGTTTACCAGGTGCACCTGTGAATACAGATTTTGTTTCAAAGCATAAGTCCAGGTGCAAATCCAGTTCTCTTTGATTTCAGTGGGACTTAATGCTAAACATGTCTGCAAACCTAAACGTGTTTATCTGGGAGCCTGTCTTGGTGAAATCCTTGCGACTTACTTCTCAGTAAAGTACTGTTAGTATGCTAAGGACTGCAACCAGACATGGCTACACAGAAGTAAATACCAGTGAGGGCAAGGGTTTTTACTTCCAAATAGCTGTGTTTTCTGAAACGGCATCTTCTGAGCTCATATCTCTCTATTCTTTCTGAAAAATAAAAATCTTTTTTAAAAATAAATATTCAGAAGCCTGGTGATGCATTGATACTCTGCCAAAGAGCCTATTTCTAAAGCCCTTGTATTTGATAATAGGATACTGGAAGTAGTACTTGGTCTAGACTTTTCTTTGTTCTCCTCTCTGCCCTGTATATTGAATAAATAATCAGAACCCCTGTAAAAAGTCTTCTGGGAGAGCCAGTTTCTGAGCAAAGGTCTATTTCACTCCACAGTAACACCCCTTTGCCCCTCTGCCAATCAAAAGTGAAGCTGTTCTGTGGACCTTCCCCTCCTGCCATGATAAAAAGGCAGGATGCTGAAGCAGATTAAGCCCATCAGCAGCTGCAGCCCAAGAACAAAACTAGCATCATGAAGAACCCAATGTATGAAGCTGTATCTTTGCTCCTGGAGAAGTTTTTCCTGCTTGCCAACTTCAAACTTCTCAGTATAGGCTCCAGTGCAGAGGAAGAAGAAAGGAAAAAACATGTCACTTATGATATTACTTGCTTCAAGCCAGGTGACTTGCTGGAGGTGCCCCGCACCCTTTTTATTCACTTTGGCATCTATCTGGGCGAGAACATGGTGGCCCACCTTATGCCAGACATTTTGCCAGCTTTCACCAACGACCACAGGCAGATCCAGAAGGTGGTGACCAATAAGAGGCTTATTTTGGGTGTCATTGCTAAAACAGCCAGGATCCGCGTAGACAGCGTGGATGACTTTGCCTATGGCGGCTGTATCCTGGTGAACCACATGGACGTGCACTTCAAGAATAAGGTGCTGAGCGGTGAGGAGGTGGTCTGCAGAGCCAAGAAGCTGGTGGGTACGACAGACTACAGCTTGCTTTGGAACAACTGTGAACATTTTGTGACCCACTGCCGATATGGCTCTGGGGTCAGCTTCCAGACGGACAAGGTAAGCTTCCCAAATCCAAATCCAACCAATTGGTCTATGAACAATGTATTAGGAGAGGGAAAGACAGATGTAGGTCTGTGGGACCAAAATGTACATTTATGATGTGTCTCTGTGGCTGTTTGCCTCCTAAATCCACCCACCCCCCAACAGAGAGGGGACTGCATGTGTAAGCTTCTTTAACCATTAAACACCAGTAGCTAACTATGTTCAAGAAAGAAAACCCCTAGTTGTGAAAGGCCATAGCATGTTTTAGTGTTACCTGTTAGATTCACACCGAGGCTTTCTTTGCTGTCCCGACAAGACTGTTATCCAGGCACTTGAATGGGCATCTGTAGCCAACACAAGCAAAAACTTGTCCAACCACGGGATCTCTGGGAACTGTGCAAGTGACGCTGCCAAGGAAGCACAGTGATGCTGCTGTTACCCTGGCCGTCCTGTTCTCCTGTCCCAGAGGCAAATCCAGACAGAAAGCTTTTCTTGTTCCAGACACTT